AATTGAGCACAAGTAATTTTTATTTATCTTTTTACCAGTATTCCTTACATTCAAAGTATTTCCTACTCCTCGTGCCTTTGCATCCGGAGAGGGTAGATTTTGTTGCATCTCAGCACGCCTACAGTTTGACTCTCACAAAAAGACCAAATAGTCTTAGCGTTTTTTCATTTTTAATTGGGCTAACTGCCAGTAGATCTAAGAAAAGAGCTTTATTCGCCTCATTTCGTCTAAAGTGAGAAGAACTGGCAGTTGAATTCTGCCACAATGATTAGACCTTACGTCTCCATTAATTTCGCATAGGTATTATCATCCAGACTGTAGTGGAATGTAATTTAGACCTTACCCGAATTGATCTCACAAGCACCCTTCGCGGGATTTGAGCCCGGATATTACCGGGTATAGTCCCAAGTCGTTAACCACAATGCCACATTGCTGCGATTGTCCTTGGATCACAGGCCAGAAGAGAATCTTAAGGAAAGCCAGACCTTTCTCATATCACTTTCCGTGGTGGAATTGTCGATTAAGCAAAGTTGCATTTGCTAATACAATCGACTACATTGCATATTTTCCTTTTAAAGTAGGTTTACGAGACTGCCAGTAGATCTTTAACAAGAACTATGTTGACCCTATTTCGTTTTAGCTTAATAAGAATTAGTACGTTGTCTCAAAAGGCTTCGAAGATAAACGTGAAAGAAACATAAAATTTGTATAATAATTTTTCAGGATGAGCAGGTCACTCGGAGAATACCCATGGTGAACTACAGTTATTGACCTGAGATAAAATTGCTAGGATGGCTTTCACTTCGTGTGAAATTACTCGATAAAAAGATTTATCTTACTCTTCAGTCGTTTGGTATTACTTAAATGGTCATTAATAGTAGTGTTCTAGACGCCATTGAAATACGTGCTACGGGCTATGAGCTACAATGTAGGATTACCCGAACTGAACAGGGAAGGAAGAACGAGTCACGAAGTATTTTGTGAAACTGAGAACAGAAATATAAAACTAAAGCGCCATGTAATGTCGGTGTTCAATAGCGAGTTGTCCAGTGTTCAGACAATAAGGTGTCACAAGAAAAACTATAGGTTATAGGAAAGCAAAGATATGAAGACCGGGATGGTGTGGCATTCTGTATGGTCGCGGCCTCCTTTTATTGTATAGAAGTTGTTTGACCTTGTTTTCGCATCTTATTAATATTGGCAGGAGAACAGATAGGATCGCACCTTGCCCGAAATCCATAGTATGCATCCACATTTCCAGAGTCAAAACGTGGACTTGGTACATTCACAGACGTTTCGCCAGCATCGTCACACCACACCACAACTCGTCACAGAGACAAGTGAAGTCGATTCTTTGACCATTTGTATGCTAAACAGTTACGGTATCTCTCCTTCTGTCCTGGACTATTCACCTCTTCTATATCCTCGTATGACACCTTCAATGTCACAATTTCTTACTTCCTTATCTAGACCTATTTGGAATTTATTCACACTCCCCGCTGATTTGCTCATCCCTTCCACTGTACCGGGAGTGTCGATCCAAGGCTGCGCCTTGATCCGCAATCTTCTCCCTTCGGATCCTATCAGAGTCCCATCTTGCCCCGTAGGATTCTTTCCTTATTTGCCTTTTTCAGTGATTTCACTCCATCGCTGCCACCATATCCGTGCTACTTTCAAGGCGATGTCCTACACTCTGCCTTAAACCTTATACATCAGCCTCACTAAGCAAGCCCTCAAAGTCTGGATTCTCATTTTGCATGTCAGCCTAACTTGAAGCTGCAGCTTCCCTTATCTTTTCGTGGCATGTCACCGAGTTCATTTCTTGGTCAAGCCTTTACTGCATGGACCACTTAATAACTAACTAGAAATGACCACTACTGTTCCTCTCGCTCTTCTATGGCATTCTATTGCGTCCCAACCCCAAAATCTGATGGTTCTACTTGATTTGAATAGGCTCACCGTAGACGTCTTCTCTTGGTTTCCAATTCTTCATCTCTGGTCTGATTATACTTTTTTTTCCTAAAATTAAAAGTATTACCTTTGTCCAGTCGTCTTTTTTATGCTGATATTCTCCGAGTTTGTTTGGGCAGTATGCAAAGTGTTCGCTAATCCTGCCTTCTTCAAGTCTCCTGTTCATTAGGTTCCTTTCAGTCAGGATATCAATGGCTTCTCGTATCTTAAGTTTTCTTGTATTTCCACCATATGCAGCCAGCCTCTCTGTCGTTTTGCACTCGATTTCATGTTCTGTTCATTCGATGTGTTTCTCTATTTCGAATCTTTCAGTGTCCATGCTTCTGTAGAGTCTTTAGTATTCCTCAATTCATAGGCTAACTTTTATTCTTGTTCCACCAAAATACTTCTGCCCACAGTTGCCGCATTTGATGCTATAAACTGCCGAGCAATTCAGTTTATCAAACTTCTTGTGTTGTGTCGGCAGGCTTGTGAAGAGTATTATTTTTTCTTTTGTTATCACCTTAATATTCCATTTTTTTAGCAACTGTCGAAATTTATGGCTCAGTTCACCGGAAGGCCTTCCCGATTTCTGATCTTATTTTCATAGAATTCTAGTTGAAATCTGGCCATTATGACCCCTATATTTCTTTCTATAAATGCTCTGGGGTACCCGTTACTAGGGCAAGTCCGAGTCAGGTTCTCCAACTCTGCATTCCATAAATTAGGACCCGAAGAGAGGGTAATGTGGATTAAATCGCAGCCTTGGATCAACTCTCCCGACATAGTGGGATGAATGAGGAAACCAGCGGGGAGTGTGAATAGGTTTGAAATATGTTCATATAAACAAGTAGAAAATTGTGATATTAAAGGAGCAATACGAGGAGATAGGATAGGTGAATAGCCCAGAACGGAAGGAGAGATATCACAACTGGCAATTGGTCAAAAGGATCAACTTCACTTGTCTCTTTGACGAGTTGTATTGTGGTGCTAAGAATGACAAGGCTGACTGGCGAGGCGGGCGAAACGTCTCAGAATGAATCACGTCCACGATCCGCCTCTGGAAATGATCATGCATACTATGGACTCCGGACAAGATGCGTTCCTTTAGGTCTTCTTGCCAATATGACCATGTTGAGAAAATAGAGTCTAAGAACTTCGATAGGAAAGCAAACTTTCGAATCATCGAGGTTGCTTTTTGACTGCGATGACTAGCACTTGATTGGCTGATGCGAAACAATGAGTGAGGATTAGTCATATTCTCAAAAGAATCTTTGTCTTAAATGGGTGCTGGGAAATGAATGTATACGTGATGTAACCAAAATACGAGTTGAAGTAATAAATATTAGGGACAATTCATTACAAACTAGTTTAAACAGCATTTTAAGATTGTGAAATCGTAGCCATGACATTCATTGCATCATTAAATCTTGCTAATCTTGGACTGATGCAACGCTTTGTTCCAATTACTCAGAGTTGTGACTGATTGTTTCATATTCTGAATCACACACGTACACAAGTAAGCATACACCAACACGTGCTAAAACATGCAAATAGTAGAAGTGAAGGAAAAAGTGAATAGCCACATCATTTTCGATCCTCTTTTATACGTTTCAGTTTGGGTGAGATTGCGAGTTTATTTGGCTTGTACAAAAGAGCTAATAAGTTTTTCGATTTGTTGTTAGCTTCAATTACATGTGACAAAGGAGACCTCGTGGCGATGTGACGTGGTGGTTAATGTGTCTACATTACACGCTGCACTGTCATGGTTCGACTCCCACTGGGAGTGTTGATAAGACCTAGGCGAGGTCGAAACTGCAGTCCACTTTTGTTGGGATGAGAACACCTTTTGGAAAACGAAGGCCATGTGAAAATTAATGAAAACTTCAACCTTACTCATATCATTGTGAGAAAAGCCAACCACCAGTCTTCATCAGCTTAAACGAAACAGGGTTAATACATTTCATATAATATATTTATTGGTGGTCTCAAATCCTTACTTATAAACTAAAAATAGCTTAAAGTCGTTGTAATAATGACATCCAGCTCTGATAATGCCCGTTAAGTGGCTTGAAGGGTGAAAGCTGAACCCGTCTCTTTAGGAAATATAGGAGAAACCTGAACCGCAAAGAAATATTATACAACAGCTCAGCAACAGAAGACCGTAGTCGTTCTCCGGTGAGATCGACTCACGAGTCTTTTCATCAGGTATTTTATCAGAGGAAATTTTTTGAAACGCTTCACACTTCGTATATATAGATTGCGGTAGCCCTAGAATCCTACTCTGAGCCTATCCTTGCCTCCGTACCCATTTGCGTCGCGTGTGTTGACTGCTCGAATTGTTTGTCAAATAGACACGCACATATATTTTTTTTCATTTATATATTTTTATTTTTATATATTTATATATATAGTATTGGTGTACTATATGGCGGTAACAAAAGTTTGATTTCCTATTCCAATCTCATTTATCCTTCTATGGATATCTCGATGAGAAAATGAGAGAAAAGTTCATGCGAAATTAATTTGCATCATGAGGTCTGTTCATTTCATTTTCATAAATTCATCAAAATGGTCTAGCATCACCTTTATTGGCCTAGGGTGACCGGATTTCTTATTGAACACCATATAATGAATTTTAAACCCATACTTGGAAGATTTAGTTAACCATCAAGTTTATCACTCGGATATTAATTGCACAACTCTCAGTTTCTTATTTTTTTATCAACTAGGTGTATAATAAATATGAATTTCAAAGGGAGTTTCGAAGCCTAATCTACAAAAGTAAAAGTAATGCTTGCCAAAAATTAATCATTATGATCTCATTATCCTATTTTATATCTAAGAATCTTTAATTGAGCTTAAATGACCTTGAACCTTAATTATATTTGATAAGTACATTTATATATACGTGTATACTTGTAAACAAAATTTTATATATATATATATAGTTATTTCATTCATTTAACAAATATGTACTCGATATATATATAGTTATATTGATTGATAGATTGATTAATTGATATATATATAAATATATCTTTCCTTTATTAGCCAACCTCGAACTTCCAGGCATAGTTGATGTCCAGATGTGGGTCGCCCTGTGCCCTACAAGGCAGCTGGACCGACTGATTGAGCTGGACGACACGGTTTTCCGGTTGCAGCAACCAAGTTAGCGCCGGCATCACAGTGAGCAGAGCCGAAGTGGTCACCTGACCGAAAGTGTTCTCGGCCAGGCAGCTGTAAATACCTGCAGCAGACTGTTGCACTTGGTAGATGAAAAGATTTCCGTTCGGCAAGGTACAGTAGGTACCTGCACACTGAAGCGCCAGAAGCAGCAGTGAGTTGCCATGGGAGGGGAAGACATTTGGGCATTTTAAAGGGGGGAAGTGTAACGAGATAAAGCTGAGAAACGGTCACAAACGGCACAATAGGGTTTCTGATTGAAGTAAACGCTTGAAGAAGCTATCAATGGCATTTTCAATGCCAAAACCAAACATTTTTTGTTTTTCTCCGCACAACAAGGAGCCAGCTACTGATGCAATATTTCAGAACTTGCCCAAAGCTTCCACTATTTATGCAAGCTATGCTTACACTCCAGCACTTTAGCCAAGGTTTTTAAGCTTGTTAGGTTTCCGATTGTTAAAGATCCTCAAGCCAGGTACAGAAGATGTACAAAAGGTGGGCTTTTATGCTCATCCTTAACTTGTCTGACTTTGGGTAAAGGGCTGGAGAGTTTCTTTATCTTTACTATTCTTTCATGAAGAGGCCATGTTGTTATCAAAACCTGAATGGATCCATTGAAGCCTAACTCATAACATTCACAATGTCCGCTCAACTTGTTTGTGGCCAGTTTGCGGTAATATTCATACATTGTGGGTTTATAAACCATCCGTAAATATTGAATAAGAGTCACAATCGCCCCAGTTCGAATAAGGTGATGAAGGGCTGACAGTTGAGTTTCCCTAGAATCATATAAGTAAGTCGTACATCTTCAATAAAGTTCACCTGGGCTTGCTTCCAAAAAGGTATTCCTATCCAGGCTGGACTGCAGTTTCGACACCATCCTAGTCTCCTCTACACCTCCTTTGGGAAGCAAGGCTGTGTGAAATCCACTAGTATTGTAAACCTTACTCATATGGTTGTGGGAAAATTCAATTATCAGTCCTTCATCACCTCATGCAACTCAGGCTGATTTAAACCCCTATTCGGTTTGCGGTGAGTTCATATATACAGTATATATACTTACGACATTATGCAAGCATTAGTTTGCCCGTACATCAAAAACCTCACGTTTAAAGAAAGAAAAAGGTAAAACTTGTGTAGCATTTACAATAACAGGATTTCATGCTGGTTTATGAGGCGCCATGTAACTCCAATCAAGAAGAACTTCATGGCTCAGAATGGAAGAGGATGGCTTAGCAAAGACCACTTGATTAACGCTAACCAAAGTTCAGGACCTTAAATTCACTTGAGTCTAGAGAGTAAAACTTTGATATGGTATTTTGCCGTAGATCTTGGCCCGTTTGTTTTAAGCATTTCTTTTAAATTTTACCTCCAGATACAAAGCAGTTGACTATGTCTGGAAGTTCCGACCATTCACTTACCTCAAACGTGCCAGTATTTACATTCATTGTGCTAGGAGAAGTAGAAATTGGCGCTCCGTTGAACTGCCAAGCCGTTTTGGGCAGCGGAGCTCCTTCCGGTTGGCAGGTGAGCACGGCATTACCACCGACAACGCTCTCAACGGGTAGCATCGGGTATTTTGCAAAGCTGGGCGCCATCTCAAGCACACGTAGCTGGGCCGAGACGGCCTCACTGCCCAAGTAGTTCCGCGCGATACAGGTGAATACTGACGAGTCAGCCGGCTGTACCTACAAATTCGCCCGGCATAAACTATGATTAATAAGGCTAAAAACTGGCGTTACTGTAGGCACATTATATGTGAAAACGTCTCAATTGCAGAAAGCTTATTAATGTAACCCCATAATAAACGTAAGATTGAGTTAATTACCAGCACTACTGTTTTTAAAATGAGATCTGGGGGGTTTCAATATTGCTCCAAAGAAAGA